CTGTTGAGGGAGGATGAGCCACGGCTGGAGCAGGAAGTAAAAACCAGGTAGGGACGCCTGGGTAGCTCAGTTGGATAAGCCTCTGAATTCGGCTCAGGTCATGATCTCACAGCTCGTGGGTTCGAGCCCTGCATCGGGCTCCGTGCTGACAGCTAGCTCAGAGCCTGGAGACTGCTTCAGATTCTGTGTCTCCCTCTCTGACCCTCCCCTGCTCATGCTCTCTCTCTCTCTCTCAAAAATAAGTAAACATTAAAAAAAAAAACCCTGGAGGCAGATTCTTGCAAATTGTAGTGAGGAGTCGGAGATGTATAATGGAGAGCTATGAGGGGTGTCAAGCAAGGGAGCGACGTGGTCAGAACTGTGGTTTAGAAAGGTCACTCTGCGTCTTATGTAGAGAATGGAGTGGGTGGGTGGATGAAGTGGAGAGATATTAAGAGCCACAGAGAGGAGATGGTAATCTAAAGCAGAAGAGTGGCCAAAGAAATGGAGAGAATGGATTGAATAGAAGTTTGTAAGGCTGAGGGGCACCTGGGCGACTCAGTTAAGGGTCAGACTCTCAGTTTCGGCTCAGGTCATGATCTCAGTTTTGCAGGTTCAAGCCTGTGCTGACAGTGCAGAGTCTCCTTGGGATTCTCTTTCTGTCCCTCCCTGCTCATGCTGTCTCTCTCTCAAAATAAATAAACTTAACTATTAAGAAAAAAAAAAAAGCTTGGGACACCTGAGTGGCTCAGTCTGACTTCGGCTCAGGGCATGATCTCACGGTTCATGGGTTCGAGTCCCCCATTGGGCTCTGTGCTGACAGCTAGCTCAGAGCCTGGAGCCTGCTTCAGATTCTGTGTCTCCCTCTCTCTGTCCCTCCCCTGCTCATGCTGTCTTTCTCTCTCTCAGAAATAAATAAAAAACATAAAAAGTTTTTAAAGAAAAAAAAAGCATGTAAGCCTGAGCTAAAAGAACCGGGTCATTGAAAGGATGAACAGGAAGGAAGAGCTAAGAAGGAAGCGAGTTCAATTTTGGGACGTTAGATTTGAGGGTCCTCTTATAGAAGATGCCAGCAAAAGTATGATAACGGCAATTTTAAATATAGGTCTGCAGCTCAAGAAAAGGTTAGGGTTGAAAAGTGTCTTTTTGCATTTTAATCCAGATCAGTTTTTCTGTAAATATGGTTATACCTATTAAAAATGAAGTATAAAGTTGAATATAGCTAAGCTCAAAGGCTTATTCTCTCTTGATTTTCTTGGAATTTGCTATACCTTGGTTTCTTAGAAGCCCAAAGGCTGGAAAAGTTTTTTGAATTCTCTTCTGATATTTAAACACTATCTGTTAATACGGTTTTCGGCAGTAGAGTTATTTAATGGATTAGGAAGATGAAGGCATACTCTTGAAGTACATTTAGAAGGCTGCTCATATTGGTTCTCACGTAAGAAAAGGTGTTTCTTTTTAAATATCCCAGCGTCTTAGCCTTCATAAGCCCATGCAGCAGTAAATCCTAAACTTCAAGTCCCCATCTTCAGATTTGTGAAGGGAGGACATTTAAAGGGACATGTGGTCCGGCTGCTTAGAGCAGAATTGAAAGGGCTGACTCCCCTGCCAGACTCCCGCCCCTGTGTCTTACTACATACATGATCTGGACCAAGTGATTTCATCCCTCTGCCCTCAGTTGCCTCTTCTGTAAGACAGTGATAAAAGTACCCACCTCTTGGGTTTATGAAGATAACTTACATAAAATCACTTATGAGATATTGTGTGCACTCAATCATCATATGTAATCAGTAAGTAATTCTGTTCAAGACAACAATTTTCTTTCTCCTAACTGAACATCACCACTGATTAAAAACCATAGAGAAATATTATTTTAGGTCAGGTTTTCCAATCAGAAACAGAATTTCATATATAACATCTAAAGCTAGTCTTTTCTGGGAACTCTTGGGGATTTGTAAAAGCCATTACAGAGTGGAACCCTACTAAGCAAGTCAGAATCGATAAGGTGGACTGTTTGGAAAAGAATTTCCAAATGGCTAGGGATTAGAGCCAGAAAGCAAGAATTAATATCTGAAGTTTACTGAAAAAACAGTTCTATATTCCAAACAGCCATGTTCCCACCAAAAATATGGATAAGGGTGTTCAAAATATAATAAAAGTGTAAATCCAGTGTAAATAGAGTAGGTTAGCCTATTTCCCTAAAATGAAAGTTAATCAGGATGAACATTTTCCTAAAGGGACCCAGCAGGGCCAGTGAAGCAGTGTTACTCATGTATGGGATACAACCACACAAGTAAGAAGGACCATACTTACACTTCACCAGGAGAATATTCTGCTCCCAGAATGATTAGTTATGAATATGCTTGAAATAAAATGAGAGCCTTACCAAATCATGAGCATGACGCATGCTTTTAAATTGGCAGTTCACATTCTTGAAAGCAATGGATTACCAATAACTATCAATGATGTACTGCTTAAAGTAAAACATAATACTGTGCTTGATTACAAATTACAACCAGTCTATAGAAGTTAAATGCATACCATACTTTAATAATCAAGACAGTTCAGCCATTTTTCTGGAGTATGTCTCAAACAGAGTTAGCATATAACCCGTATTTAACAAGATTGCTGTGGTTTTAGTCATTTTATATTTAAGGGTCCAAAATATATCGTGTTAACACTGTCTGTGAATGTCAACCAGTTTTTTACTTATATTCCTTCAAAAACACTCTACCCTGGTCATACACACTAATTTTTATCACTACAAATAACCAGAGGTGGTAATTCAGTCTCACCTCCGCACAGAAGTTCTAATTGCCCTAGAAACCTGCAGGTCAAGTTCTCAGCCTTTGAGAAGGAGCAAAAACGTTCCAGGGCCGTCCCCGTAGCCATGTATTTGGGCTTTGTATTTATAGTATTAGATCTGAGACCTAACCATGGCCACACGTATCGCAGTAAGCCAAGTTCCATATCAAAAATAAAATGTGAAAGGAATCAAAGAGATTTTGTAATTCCAATAGCACAGACTTCAAAAATTGAACGCTTATACATAACTCCTACATCTGTCTTTAACTAAGAGGTCATTACCATGCTTACAGGTTTGAGGCAGTAATCTATGGATTAGTGTGTGATTAATCAAAGAGTGCACTTACTATCATGAACTTGGGTCCTATGCCATAGGATTATTTTTGCTTTTCCCCCAATGAATAATTTGCTCCTGAAGTAACAGACTTTTAAGGCACATTTTAACAAAAACCCATCATATACCCAGCTTAAAAATGGGCGCTCCTCCTGGTTACAATACATATACATATATATATATATATATACACATATATATATACATATATATATACCTAAGTAATGTGTGATTTACCAGATAGGCAAGTGTCTCTACCATGAGGATAAAGTCACATATATATATATATATATATACACATATATATATACATATATATATACCTAAGTAATGTGTGATTTACCAGATAGGCAAGTGTCTCTACCATGAGGATAAAGTCACATTAGAAAAGTGATTCTTTATTCGCTTAGTCAAAAAGAAACATCATGTAAAAAATATTAGAGCATTAAATTTATAAGAATAACCCATATGTACCAAGCCTGTTGGCAAAGATCCAAAGATCCAACAGGATATAGGTCTAGAAATTAAGGAAAAGGCTCTTTTGGAATCCTGGGTTCCTACCCACCCAGGTTTCTGAGCAGGAATCATGAGGAAGGGAGTTGGGCACCTTAATGACTTTTAGACATTTCCTTTCAAAATGCACACACCCTTGGGAGGACTCAAATCTTAAACCACAATCAGTCTTGCATTTGCAGTTAGCAACCTCAAAGGAATAGGACTTGGGAAACGAAGGAGAGAGGATGGAAGGAAGCCACAGATGGAAGTGGGGTGGTTTCAAGGGCAAGTAACTTTAGGAACTTGGTACATTTTGCTAGGACCGGCTTTGATTTCCTTATGAGTCTCTGCTTAAAAATAAGTAAAATTATTTCCTAATACCCACAGGTAGCTTTAGGATACTGACCCTTGGGATGGACATAGAATTACTTACTTGGAATGGTCTGGGGTGAGGGGAGATTAGTAAGAGTCTTAACGTCCTGATAGTCTAAAGTAAGCATAAGTGGAAGAATTTCACTGAAACAAACACATAGCTAACTGTAATGCCTCCTCTGGCCTTCCTCTACCCACTGATTGTTAGGGGTCTGAAGGATGGCTTTTCAGCTGTGCCGAGTGTGCTGCTAGCAAGCTGGGCTCTAGTTCAGTCCACATTTTAAATGTTGTACAATGACAGGCCCATTTCTCAGGGGCCAAACACGCAGAATGGTATATATATTTTTAAATCTGTAGCTACCGATCACCTACGTTTGGGAAACCACGTGGCCTCTGATGTTACTTTAGCCAATCTCCAGTGATTGGCACCATTTTGGAAATCTGGTCCCGAAGGTTCTAAAGAACAGTAATGCTGCAAAAAGGAATCACCTCTCTGTATAAAATGATCATAGAGATGTGTGTTGAGGTAAAGAGCTTTATAAAAACTGTTGAGTCAGGAAGTACTGCCCCAGCTACAGAAAGTTTTAGGTAAGCTTGGTGGGAAGAGTATTCTACAAAACTCCCGTTTATACCGGTTATAAACAGGACACAGTTCTTATTGCTCCTGGAGCTTGCTACCCCAGTCTGTTCCAGCTCCACTGAAAAATTATTTTTCTCGACAACTGTTAGCAAAGATTCCCAAATTTGTAAAAGAAAAAAAAAAGTCATTGCCAGTGCATTGCTTTTTGATTTCTGATTGCCATAGAGATCTGAACTACACTACAGTATGCATGTCCTTGACACCAAGTACAGAAAAAAGCTTAGAAAAGTTGTCTTATCAAAGTTCAAAGAAAAAAAAACATGAAAAAGAGCAAAATATATACAGTTCCTGGCAGTCCTCACACAGGAGTTTCTGACCACAGACCATAAAAGTTTACATTTGTGTAACGAAATTACAGTAGATTTTACTTCATTGTTAAAATACAAGTTTTGGCTTCAAAGTGCTCACTTTATTTAAAAAAGAGAAGATCAAGAGAGTTGCAGGAATTTTTTTTTCTTACAACAAGTACATCATGTGTCCCATTCTCCTTTTTCCTTTTCCTTTAGTGCAACACAGCTCAGCAGCCTCACTGAAAGGTCCTGGTTTCAAAAGATACTCCTGCAACCTCACTACAGCAGTACATTAGGGGTCCCATTGGGGGTGGCTCCTTTTTTCTTCTGCAGCCGATTCTGAACTTTTCGCGATTTCACCATCTTCATTCTCACCTCAAAAACTTCATGGATGGCTTTCCGGAAGCAATGAAAATTATAGTCAATAAGCCCTGGAGAAGAAAACAAAAATATTTAGAAATGTCATATGGGGAACCTGGGTGGCTCAGCTGGTTAAGCATCTGACTCTTGATTTCAGCTCAGGTCATGATCTCAAGGTCTTGAGTTCAAGCCCAGCATTGGGCTCCGCGCTGGGCATGAAGCCTACTTGAAATAAAAAGAAAAGAGAAGAAAATAAGTTTTAAAAGTGATGTAGAAATAATCTCCTCTTTTCATGTCTGCTGTGGCCAGGACAAGCAACTAGGGGAGGCAGAAGAGCAGCCGTAACAGAAGGTTCACAGACTTCCCTAGGAGCTCTGCAGCGGGGCTTCAGGAATTGCAGGCAAGGTTTTGCAAATGGACATGTTTTCCTAAGGAAAGTTTCCAGAGAATGGGGCACCTGGGTGGCTCAGTCAGTTGAGTGACTGACTCTTGATTTCGGCTCAGGTCATGATCCTGGGTGGTGAGATCAAGTCTCGAGTCTAGCTCCGTGCTGAAGGCAAAGCCTGCTTGGGATTCTCTCCCTCTTTCCCTCTGACCCTCTCCCCTACTCATGCTCTGTCTCTCTCTCTCTTAAAAAATAAAAAAGAAAAGAAAAGGTTCCAGAGGATAGACCACAATTTTCCATATTTTCAAAGGTGCTTATGATCTACATAAGAAGAATCAACTAAAGGGCACATTTTTCTGACGTGTCAGAATTCAAGATTTCTTACAATTAAGATATGTCTTTCATGAAATATTTACTGTATTTTCCCACAGGGGATTATTAAATTGACTCTGAGTGGAGGCAGACCCTGAGTTGAAGTGTGACTGAGATCTCAAAGATTTAGGACCAATAATTCAATCAATTGATATTTACTGAATATCTATTTTCTTTAAGCCATTGTCATAAGTCCTGGGGAAAGCAAAGTCCCGAGTTTAGAGTGGTAACAGTTACCTCTGGTCACTTCTAAGCTTACAAGTTCAACAATCAATGACACTAGAGTTTTTTCAATACTAAGTAAATTTTAAATGCAAAACGAGGAAGGGAGGATCTTTTTGTGTTTTCTGAAATTATTGGTACGAGAGCAGAATAAAGAAAATTCAAAGTCTTGACTGCATTCTTTCTTCATTATCACTAATTTGTAAAAGTGTTGAGAGCAATGTTTATACCAATTAGGATAAGGCAGTTGGTTCTACTCACGATCTTTAACTTTATTAAAATAACTAGCCCAACAGTTATTTCCACCCACTCAGGTGATACTTCCAAAGCCCCAACCAAAATAAAAGAATTGGGATTCCAGCCAAGGAGTGAAATTCTTCCGAAGAGTCATGTAACAGCAAGTGCACCGGAGCAAACCCCGTCTCAGCTTCCAGGCACAGGAAACCCTCTCGGAGGCGCCCTCTGGTGCTTCTGCAGTGTTAGTGACCACAGTGCAATAAAACCTCCAAGTGATCTCCCTCAAGACAAGACAATTACCAGATTAAGGGGATAAGAAATAATAAATAAGTCCAGGGGTGCCTGGCTAGCTCAGTCAGTAGAGCATACAAAGACTGTGAGTTTGAAACCCACACTGGGTGTAGACATCACTTAAAAATAAAATCTTAAAATAAGTATCTCTTTTCTGCCTGAGGCTTTCTTTAGTACCACAGAACTTCCTCAACTGCACAGAGACAGGTACTAGGGATATAAGAATGAACGTTTAAGGGACTGAGGGGCATGGGGGAAAGTGGATAAATGTTGCAGTCTTCCATACTCAACTGGGATGATCTGAATTTGTTCCACACAGCTTCTCAGAGATTCTCCTACTGGGAGTGCACATAAAGCTGCTCATTGATACCACTGTGGGTGGCTTTTCCACTTTCCCATCTCATTTCCCCACTTCCTCATTTTTGTTTTTTGGGACCATCTTTCAAATAAAGCATGTAATTAAAAGAAAATAGGGGCAACTGGCTGGCTCAGTCAGTAGAGTATCTAATTCTCGATCTCAGGGTCATAAATTCAAGCCGCACACTGGGTGTGGAGCCTACTTAAAATAAATTAACTTCAAAAATAAAATAAAAACAAACAAGAAAATAAATTAATAATAATTTTAATAAAATTTATTAAAATTATTATTAATTTATTAATTAATAAAAATAATTTTAATAAAAATAAAATAAATTAACTTCAAAAATAAAATAAAAACAAACAAGAAACAAATAAATGAGTTCATTTAGTGGGAATTTGGATACAAGATGCGAGAACAACCTCAAAATTCTTTGCCTATACAATAAAACCTTGGTTTGTGAGCATAATTCGTTCCACAAACATGCTTGTAATTCAAAGCATGTGTATATCAAAGCAAATTTCAAGAACCATTGCCTCAGTTGTGATCATGTGAGGTTCGGCATCACACACACTACTTATATTGCAAGACATAGCTCATTTATCAAGTTAAAGATTACTTAGAAATGTTTGCTCATCTTGCAAAACACTTGTAGAACAGTTACTCCCAATCTGAGGTTTTACTACATATGCAACCAACCTCTGGAAGAAAACTTAGCTAAAAAAAACCTGGCTCAGTGAGAATTCAACTTGCAGAAATATTCTAGTCAGTTGGTTAAGCATCTGACTCTTGATCTTGGCTCAGGTCATTACCTCACAGTTTATGAGATTGAGCCCAGAGTCAGGCTCTGTGCAGACAGCGTGGAGCTGCTTGGGATTCTCTCTCCCTCTCTCTCTGTTCCTCCCCCACTTGCACTCTCTCTCAAAATAAATAAGCATTTAAACAAAAAAGAAATATTCTATTGCTAGTTCCTGACAAATCTTAATTCTTATCTTTGCAATTTTAAAATGTAACAGTCTCTTGCTGCATCTGAAGTTTTAAAAGTAAAAATTCCCAGGGCACCTGGGCAGCTCAGTCCCTTGAGCGTCAACTCTTGATTTAGGCTCAGGTCATGATCTCATCATTGATTGTGAGCTCAGCGTGTATTCTCTCTCTTCCTTCCTCTCTGCCCCTCCCCTGCTCGTGCTCTCTCTCTCTCAAAATAAATACATAAACATTAAAAAAAAATCCACATGATAAATTCCTGCTTAAATTTACTTCCATAACCATATATGGATGTTAAAATTAGTGGGCAAAAGTGTGAGGAGGAACAAATTTTACATAGTTGTTAAGTATTTATCAACTACAAATGGAAAGACAGGAACTTTCCAGTGGAAAAACCTGGCAGACATTTTCTTAACTAAATCAAGGTCAGCATCGACAGTAATAAAACTTATCAACATCATGAACTGCTTGATATGATGCACTGAAAAGGACACATTCTTGCCAAAGTGCATAATCCTGTTCCAACTGTGTGGAAACAACAGACAAACCCAATTGGAGGAACATTCTACAAAATAATTGATTAATACTCTTCAAAAGTGTCAACGCCATGAAAGATGAAGAACTGTCACAGATTGGAGGAGACTTAGAAGAATAACAACTAAATCAATTTGGGATCCTAAAACAGAAAAAGGGTATTTCTGGAAAAATGGTACAATCTGAATAAGGTCTACAGTTTCATTAATAGTATTATCAATGGTAATTTCCTACTTTTCTTTAAAAAAACTTTTTTGGGGGGCTCCTGGGTAACTCAGTCAGTTAAGTGGAATAATCTCATGGTCTGAGAGTTCGAGCCCCACGTCGGGCTCTGTGCTAACAGCTCAGAGCTTGGAGCCTGAGTCTCCCTCTCACTCTGTCCCTCCCCCGCTCAAACTCTTTCTCTGTCTCTCTCTCAAAAGCAAATAAACATTTAAGAAAGAATAAAAAATAAATAAACCTTAAAAAATTTAAAATAAAACATTTTTAATGTTTATTTATTTTTGAAGGAGAGAAAGAGAGAGAGACAGAGCGAGAGTAGGGTAGGGGCAGAGAGAGGGGGACAGAGAATCCAAAGCAGGCTCCAGGCTCTGAGCTATCAGCACAGAACCCAATGTGGGGCTCGAACTCACAAACTGTGAGATCATGACCTGAGCCAAAGTCAGACACTTAACCGACTGAGCCACCCAGGCGCATTAATTTTTTTAATTTAACTTCTGAAATCAACATGAAGTATTAATCACCAAATATAAATTCTGGAAATATCTTTAACCAAGGAAATATACGTATAATGGTTTAAAACAAAATACACACAGAGGCCCTGAGTGGCTCAGTTGATTAAGCTTCAACTCTTGTCTTCAGCTCAGGTCGTGATCTCACGGTTCATGGGTCTGAGCCCTGAATCATCAGCTCCCCGCTGACAACACAGGGGCTTCTTGAAATTCTCTCTCCCACTCTCTGCCCCTCCCCATTTTCTCTCTTTCTTTCTCTCTCTTAAAATAAATAAATTAATTAACACAACTGATTCTATGTAGGGACAAGCCCAGGAATCTTAGCTTTGACTGCCATACACTGGTAGTATGACTTTGAGAGGAAGTCATTATTAGTTCCTTGGTCTGGTAAAATCATCTATAATTGATAGAATGAAACAAGGTATGGTCCTGTCCAGGACCATAGAAAATAGAAAATTCCATGAATCTATTATATATAATCTGCTCTTACTTTTAGCAGGTTGAAAATAAGGAGTAAAAGATTAACACTACTTTATTAAAAGTTTTGAAAGCCAAGGACACAAAAGGCAAGGTCAATAACAGTCAGTAAATAAAGGAAAAATCTACAGCTTCACCAAGAAGCAAGGAAATGTAACTTGAAATGATACTAAGTTTTTAATCATCACAAAGAGTTTTTTTCTTATAGAGAAAGAGCAGGAGTGTGGGGGGAAAGCCAGAAAGAGAGAGAGAGAGAGAGAGAGAGAGAGAGAGAGAGAGAATCACAAGCAGGCTCCATGCCGGGCACAGAGCCTGACATGGGGCTCAATCCCACGACCCTGGGATCACAATCTGAGCCAAAACCAAGAGTCCACTGACTAAGTCATGCAGGCACCCTAATAATCAAATTTTTTAATGCTAATACCCAATATTGAGAGGAATACAGCAAAATGGATACACTTATATTATCTTAGTAGTATAAATCCATAAAATCTTTCAGAAGGACATTTTGGCAATATATGTAAGAAACTCCCAGAACATAGGGCACCCAGGTGGCTCAGTCGGTAAAGTGTCCGACTCTAGCTCAGGTGATGATCTCGAGATTCACGAGTTTGAGACCCACATCGGGCTCTGTGCTGACAGATCAGAGCCTGGAGGCTCTTTCGGATTCTGTGTGTCCCTCTCTCTGCCCCTTCCCTGCTCAGGAGCGCTTTCTCTCTCTTTCTCAAAAATAAATAAAACATTAAAAAAAAAGCCACAAGAACTTGTCTACCCTACCCTTTGATCTAACTAATTCAATTGCTGAAGTTTTTCCTGAGGAGATAACCAAGATGTATACAAATATTTAATGCAAAAATGGTCATCAGAGATTATTTACAACATTAAAATCCAGAAACAATACAGATTTTGAACAATAAAAGAAGCTAACATAATCATTAAAATGATGTGGCAAAAAAAAAAAAGATTTAGTGATTAGAAAGATGTCTGTGATAAATGCACTAAAGGTTATGAAGTAGGGGCACCTGGGTGGCTCAGTCGGTTAAATGTCTGACTTCAGCTCAGGTCACAATCTCATGGGTTTATGGGTTTGAGCCCCGTGTCAGGCTCTGTGCTGACAGCTAGCTCAGAGCCTAGAGCTTGCTTCAGATCCTGTGTCTCCCTCTCTCTCTGACCCTCCCCTGTTGACACTGTCTCTCTCTCTCTCTCTCTCAGAAATAAATAAAACCATAAAAAAAATTTTAAAAAGGTTATGAAGCAGTATTTATCATATCAGTCCATATAGATAGAGACATAGCTATAGATGAAAATATTAGGCTGTATGCTGACAACTTAGAGCCTGGAGCCTTCTTCAGATTCTGTGTCTCCCTCTCTCTCTTAAAAATAAACAGACATTAAAAACAAAATTTTTAAAGAATGTACAAAGGCTGAACAGAAGTTTAGTACTGTCTAGCTTTAATGTTGTACAAGTCCCCCCTGTGTAAACCAACACAGGGATCTCAAGCGGTCCCACGGTCCCTCACACCGTGCAGTGGAGTGGGCCAGGAGTGAGGCCCCAGCCCACCCTGAGGGACACTGAGGCCCTCCCTGCGAAGGGACTTTACAGCCTGGCAACAAAGACTAAGCCAGCTTCACTCCCAGAAAAGCAAGAATCCCTGGGAGGCCGGTCTGGTGCCACCTCCCCTTCTGCAGCTGCGTCACTAGATGGCAGGCTGGTTCACAGATCCCAAAGCTGGCCTGAGCTGGGTAAGGAGCCAAGGGGCCTGGCCATGAAAGCCTGGAAGATTCCAGAGGCATGCTGCTAACCGCCCACATTCAACAAGCAGCAGAAGCAACAGGAGTCCGAAATGAAGTATTTCATTTAAATCACACACACAAAATTACCTTTTCTTTCAAAGCTTTCCTCTCTGACAAAGCAAACAAGAGCCAGGAACTTTGTCACCTCCTTTAAATAAAGAACTGTTGTGTTATTCAGCTTTATAATGGCTGTTGATTCCTTGTCATAGGGGGTTCCTGCTCCATCTTCTTTGAGACTGAATGGGGACAGAAACCAGAACATATTTGACTATTGAGAAAAAACTACAAATTATAACCCAACAACAGAGTCCAGATTTAACACACAGAATGATAATCATAATGGAAAGTCGTTTACAACCACAGTGCCTTACAGCAAAAGTCTCAGAAACACACAATCACAAGAATGTACACAGTGTATGGCAGTCCCTTCCTGCTGACACAATGAGTGGCTGTTTGGGGTAGGCGGACAACCCTCCGGGCACCTGAGGAACACAGGTGAGGGATGAAGGTTAGCTCTTCTCCCCTCCGTAGCCCACAGGGGTTCTTGTTTTCTTCTGACAGACCAACCAGGCTGTCAGAAGCATGGTTTGAGGAAAGACCAAGAAGGGCTGAATGACTGTTCCAAATTACTGAAGCCTAAGAGGACATGACAGCCAAGAGTGGCCTAGATCCTGGACCACAGGAAAGAAGTGCTACAAAAGATAGATTTGGGTCCGCTGGTAAGATTTGAATATGGACAATACATGAAATAATGCATTAATGTGGCCATGCTAAATATGCTTAATTTGATAAACGGTGGTCCTGTAAGAGACATTCAAGTATCTAGGAACAAAGAATCATGATGTCTGCAATTCACCCTCAAATGGTTCAGCAAAAACAAATCAACTGTCGCAGGAAAAGAAAGACCAATATGGGAAATTGGTAAAAAAAAAAAAAAAAGGTCAATCCCAGGGAAGGGTATGTAGGAGTTCATTGGACTATCTTTGTGCATTTTTGTAGGTATGAAATTTTTTCAAAATAAAATGTTAAATAAATATAGTGGTCTCTTTAAGACAAGGTGTGTCCTGCAGACACAGATGACTTGGGTTTGAATCCTAGTTCACTTATGTGAACTGGGGCAATGTGAGTAGCTTCTTTGAGCCTCAATTTCCTTATCTGTATCCTAACAGTAATTACCTCAAAGTCTCCCAATGCAATGAAATAATAGATACATAACACTGAGCACGGTGCTGGCAACATGTAAAAGGCACAATGAATGTTAACTGTTATTGCTATTATTACTAGTATGTTATTACTAGTATATTATAGTAATATATTATTACTATTATTGCCTTGAATGATCAAAACTGGAAGCTCAGAAGGCTCTGAGGACTGATGTAATCAGAGTTATGTATTCTTTCCTTATTGGCAAAGGAGCACTTCCCTGCACCTTTTCCCCTATCTGCAACTATGTGTGTATGTATTTTTGCTTCTCAAATTGGTGAATAATTGACCAGAAATGACTTATTAAAATTGTGCTAGACCTTACTAATACAACATAATAACTCAGCTGGTGTTAAACCTGATCCCCTTGCATAATAAGAGCCAGCTTTTATTATGTGACAGGCACCACTCTTAGCTTTTACCATGAATTATCTGTTGTCTGGCCGAAGAATCCCCTAAGCTAGGTATTGAGGGGAAACAGGATAATTTGGTCAAAGCTGACAATGGGGGTGGAGTCAGGACCTTCAACTAATGTAATTTCAGAGTTAATGCTCTTAAGCTCATAAATATCACAAGGAGGTAGGGTGCCAAACCAGATTAAGTGAGACGCTTGAATTATAGAGTATTTCAAAGGAAATGCAAGCTTTTAGTTTTGAAGTATTTGAAACTGGCACATACATACATGGCTACTTAAAAGTAAATTGTAGAAGGTAGTTTTTTAAAACAGGATTCAACTCACTGTAATCTACTAAAACATGAAAGAAAAAGTGTTGGATCTGAGATGTTAAAGACACTTTATCAGAAATCTTAACTTCCTCTGTACTATTTTTAGCTGCTGTGTTTCTACACTGCATTTCTCTTACTAATAAGTAATGTTCTGAGAATAATAAACTGAAACATTGGTCTTTTTTCACCCAACAAAGAAAACTGCATTTAAAACTTCCAAGTAAATATAATAGTAAACAGACACTAAACACTGTTTACTAACAGCACTTAATAACACAAGAAAATTCTTAGGTGATAATGTTAAATGAACAAAGCAGGATACATATAAAATAATATATACAAAGTGAACACATTATCCTAAAAATTACACAGAGAATAAGAATAAAATATATTAAAATGTTAACAGTGACAGTCTCTAGATGATGAGGTTACGGACTATTTTAATTTTATTCCTTATGTTTTACATATTTTCTATATGAGCATAGATTACATTCATAATCATAAAAAAGCAAACATTAAACAAATTGGAAAAACAAAAAAGACCCAAAAAAGACAAGTAAAAATTGGTGAGCATTACAACTACAATAACTGTATTCTACCACTCAAGTTTCCAGCTACAAAGCAATGAAAACACAGGAAGATACGACGTTTTGTAAAGCGTAAAGTGTGCGTGTGTGTGTTTGCGTGTGTATCTGGTGAAGAGAAGGTCAGCAGATTCCTGAGCAGACTGAGTGAGGCACCAGGTCACCTGCCTCTCGCCCTGCTGGAAACGGGCAGCGGGTCGGCTTCCTAGGCTGCAGCTGCCAGCTAACTGGGCTCCTCATGGCTCCAACAAACACTGAGCAAACTCCAGAGCCCGCGCCCGATTTGTGACCCAGACTGGTTCTTACTGAACCTGATGAGTTTTCAGAACACTGCACTCCACCTCAGAAAAACAATCTGACTCCTCCCGATTCCTCCCTCTTCATGTTTGTTTTAGCTGGGTAAAAGGAACTCTGATTAACATCATTTACATGAACAGCTTACCACTTACACCCAATTACCATATGGCACAATAATGATTATGCATACCATTAAATATGTGCCAGATTAATTGTGTTTATTGTATCTGATTACCACAGCAATCTAGACTGTAATCAGGGTATATTCAGTTTCTATGACTATTTCAAGGTCATCCACTTGTAGCTGAAAAACAATAGAATGCTGTGGAGCAGTAATCTTGGGAAACAAGGTCTACTTCTGAAGCCAGATCGCAGTGTCTAATAATAATACTAAAAAGGCAGTAAACTTGGGAAATAAGGTCTGTTCCTAAAGCCAGATGGCAATGTATAATAATTAATAATAATAATAATAATAATAATGACAACTACATTTATCCAGGGTCTACCAGGTGAAGCCTAATGATATTTCATCCTCACTGCAATCTTGTAAGTATCACTTTCCCTATTTCATAATGGAAGGGACCATGCATGCATGTGTGTATAACAGAGAATCTGAACTGAGGGGGTAAAGGATTTTCATAGTGGAAAAGAGAAATGGGAAGACTGAGACCTTCACAGAGGCTGAAGAAGGAGGCTGTGAGGCAGGTCACAGCTAGTGAGTAAAAAAGGAAGATGAATGAGAGCTTTACTTCATCAATGATCGGATAAGCATGTACGATACAATATAGATCAACGGCAACAACTTGATATCTTACAGAGAAACTAGTTCATATCCATTCACTCTATACAACACCCATTCAGGAAATTTAAAATCATGTAGAAATGTTTCTATGTCTGGTACCAAAATCAATTTTCCCCACTCCTCGTTATTTTATATTATTTTAAATGTACAGCAAGTTCTGTTTTCTAAAAATCTAAGACCATAATAATAAACAGGTAATGTTTGCTTAGTTTTAGAATTCTCTGCTGCTCATAAAAGAAGACAAAGTGTGTTAAAGAGAATCCAGAAGTTATTTCCTAGAGTGAAAAAGGTAATAGAAATGTTGTTAATAAGAGATATGTAGTTTGAGTGCTAGGATCCTATTAGTCACTCCCAAGTGTGTATGACATTATGATAATATGATAGCTGAGTAGAAGAACCTGGAATCAGTTAGACTTGACTTCTTTTATTGACAGTGTGAGCAGGGGTTAGAAACTTAACCACTCTGAACCTCAGTTTCCCCATCTGTGAAATGGGGATAGTAATTGCCACCTCATGGAATAGCAGGGAATTAATGATATAATATAATATGTTTATTAGCAGAATGCCAGGGCATTTACCCAATAATTTATTATTACTGCATGCTAAATGGTATATTTATAGATCTCAGTCATTTAAAACACAAGTATTAAAAATAAAATAAGTAAATGTAAATGTTACAAAGGTTGTGAAAGGTTTCATTTTCTAATCTTAAGTATGGCTTGATTATAGCCTTTAAGAACATTTTACCTACCAAGGGGTACCTAGGTGGCTCAGGGAGTTAAGCATCCAACTTTGGCTCAGGTCATGATCTCACAAGTTCATCAGTTTGAGCCCGGCATTGGGCTCTCTGCTGTTAGCATACAGCCAGCTTCAGACCCGCTGTCTCCATCTCTCTCTGCCCCTCCCCCACCTCTCTCTCAAAAATAAAAATAAACATTAAAAAGAAGGATAATAATGGGGCGCCTGGGTGGCTCAGTCAGTTAAGCGTCTGACTTCGGCTCAGGTCATGATCTCGTGGTTCCTGGGTTTTAGCCCTGCACTGGGCTCTGTGCTGACAGTTCAGAGCCTGGAGCCTGCTTCGGATTCTATGTCTCACGGTCTCTCTGACCCTTCCTGCTCATACTCTGTCTCTGTCTCTCTCTCAAAAATAAACATTAAAGTGGGGCGCCTGGGTGGCTTAGTCGGTTAAGCGTCCGACTTTCACTTAGGTCATGATCTCGCGGTTCGTGGGTTCGAGCCCCGCATTGGGCTCTGTGCTGACTGCCAGCTCAGGGCCTGGAGCCTGTTTCAGAGTCTGTGACTCCCTCTCTCCCTGACCCTCCCCTGCTCACGCTGTCTCTCTCTCTCTCTCCTAGAAATAAATAAAACATTAACAAATTAAAAAAAATAAAATAAAATAAACATTAAAATTTTTTTAATTAAAAAAAGGATAATTAAAAGAAAGAATATTTTACTTACCCATAAATACAAGAAATGTCGATAACCACATCGATCATATCACAGCAGAGTTCATAGGTTTGCATATCCACTGGGGTACTATCAGTTGCAATATAAATTTTACTGACCACATCAAAGAGAAATGCCTTTTCAATTCCAGAATTCTGAAACAAAAAGAAGATGCTATCTTAAAGGGACAGCTGATTTCAGAACATGTCATTGTTACATAAAAAAATTACATGCCATCCTCAGTGTAAAATATAAATGAGCAAAAAATAATCTACTAAAATTTTCTTCTCTTTTATTACAACTTAAACCTCACATTGAGGCATCTGGGTGGCTCAACAGGGTAAGCGTCTGACTTCGACTCAGGTCATGATTTCACAGCTCATGCGTTTGAGCCCTGCACCAGTCTATCTGCTGTCAGTGTGGAGCCTGTCTTGGTTCCTGTCCCCTCTCTTTGCCCCTGCTCAGCTTGTGCTCTCTCTGTTTCAAAAATAAATAAAAACATCAGGGACGCCTGGGTGGCTCAGGTGGTTGAGCGTCCAACTTCAACTCAGGTCATGATCTCACCGTTCATGGGTTCAAGCCCCACATCGGGCTCTGTAATGACAGCTCAGAGCCTGCAGCCTCCTTTGGATTCTGTGTCTCCCTCTGTCTTTGCCCTCCCCTGCTTGTGCTCTGTCTCTCTCTCTCTCAAAAATAAATAACAATAAAAAAAATTTTTTTAAAGAAAAACATCAAAAAAAACAAAAAAAAAATTTTTAATAAAAATTTTTAAAACCTCACATAAACCTTTATAATGGATTTGCATTAGAAATGGAAAATTCTTGGGGCTCCTGGGTGGCTCAGTCAGTTAAGAACCTGACTTCAGCTCAGGTCGCGATCTCACCGTTTGTGAGTTCGAGCCCTGCATCAGGCTGTGCCGACAGCTTGGAGCCTGGAGCCTGCTTCAGATTCTGTGTCCCCCCTCTCTCTTTGCCCCTCCCCGACTCACACACTCTCTCTCTCTCTTTCTCTCTCTCAAAAATAAATAAACATTAAAAAATTTTTAAACAAAAGAAATGGAAAATTTTTATTTTTCATCAATTATTTACTTTAGGTAAACAAACTGGGAAGTGTGTCCTGGCTCTTAGAGATGTACCTGCAGTTAGGAAAAGCCACATAAAAACATGAATTTAAATGACTGTAAAGTTTGAAATAAAATTTAAAAAGCTAAACAAACTTACCACTCTACATTTACAGAATAAATATGCATACAACCAGCAAGTCAGACTGAACTGAACAGCACAGCTTGCCTAGGGCTGCTGGTTTATAGGACTCATTCAGCCAGCACATCATCCATGGTGTTAAACACAAATACTCAAGAGTAAATACCTTTTCTTTTTAATGTTTATTTATTTTTGTGAGAGAGTGTGCTCATGGGGGAGGGGGTGCAGAGAGAAGGGGACAGAGGATCCTGAGAGCCCGATGTGGGTCTCGAACTCAGGAACCGTGAGACCATGACCTGAGCCAAAGTCGGAAGCTTAACCCACTGGGCCACCCAGGTGCACCAATTGTACATATCTTATTGCCAAAACCACCCTTAATGTTCCCTACATCTGGTAGAGCTCTATCTACATTGAATGATTGCCTACAACTTGAATAAACACTCTAATTATATCAGTGAAGTACAGGAATCATTTGGGGAGTTAAATTTTAAAGAACATAAAACAGTTATGTAGGAGCAATCTTCCGAAGTTATACTGCAGTGACCGTGCAATGCTGTGAGAGCAAGCAAAAGTAAAACCATTTTCACTCTTGCAATGTTAGTCTAAAATTCTGCAAATGATTCTACCAGGATGTTATTATGTACTTACCGAGATAAAGATGTTTAGCAAATTCTCCAGGGTGGGGAGTTGTGGAATCAGTTTCTGAACCACTTTGCTGAAAGCTTCAAATATTGAGTGATCATATATGCTTGTCAAATAGAAGCTGAAAGAGAAATTATTTCATCACATTTTCCTTTTGACTGGGGAAAAGATTGCCTAGGCTATGTCATGGCACCAGTACCCAGCGCTCTGTATCTATAGTCCGTACATGGACATGGTAGCCCCCTTTAGAAATCAACATGACCTCAGTAAATGGGTGAACATGTCTTAACAAATCATTCCTCCCCAACTCCCGAAAAAGCAAGAATTATGCCCATTCTAGTCTACTGACTGGCTGGACTGGAAAGCTTTAAAATGCAGTAGTATGTGCCCATATGAGTTTCCTTAATTCTCCACAAGAATATACACCAGATCATCTTTACATACACCCGTTAGGTTAGGAATGGCTACATTATTGGTACTGAAGCATCTAATTTTTTCCATTTTCCAATTTGCAAACTGAATGATGTATACATATACTTCCCCATAAAAAATTGATAGAGGAGCCTGACCGGCTAGCTGGTGGACCATGTGACTCTTGATCTTGGGGTTTTAAGTTCGAGCTCTACATTGGGTGTAGAAATTACTTAAAAATGAAATTTTTTTAAATTTTTTTTTGTAGTTTATTCATTTTTTGAGACAGAGGCAGAGCACGAGTGGGGGAGGAGCAGAGAGAGGGAGACAGAATCCGAAACAGGCTCCAGGCTCTGAGCTGTCAGCATAGACTAGCCTGATGCAGGGCTTGAACCCACGAACCGTGAGATCATGACCTGAGCCAAAGTCGGACGCTTAACCAACTGAGCCACCCAGGCGCCCCTTAAAAATGAAATCTTAAAAAATAACTGATAGAAAGATGATTTACTCTGTACTTCTTCTATTTGAAGTGTTTTCAGAGTTCTCTCTTACTTCTGTGTATAGATACTATTATATTCATCACACACTGTAACCTTCAGCATTGATTAACTTGCTGGATTATGTTCTTGAGTTTTATCTAATGTTTCTCACACTCCGGAAAAACATTAGCTTTGAGTATTTGTTTAAAAAACAAAAACAAAGGGGAGGCGCCTGCGTGGCTCAGCCGGGTAGGTGTTCAACTTCAGCTCAGGTCATAATCCCACAGTTTGTGGGTTCAAGCCCCGTGTCGGGCTCTGTGCTGACCGCTCTGAGACTTTGACCTGCTTCAGATTCTGTGTCTCTCTCTTTCTATGCTCCTCCCTCGCTTGTGCTCTCTCTCTGCCTCTCAAAAATAAATTAAAATAAATACATATATAAATATATAAATTTTAAAAGCAAAAACAAAGGGGCACCTAAGTGGCTCAGTTGGTTAAGCCTCTGACTCTTAATTTTGACTTAGGTCATGATCTCACAGTCAGTGAGTTTGAGCCCCGCCTCAGGCTTGCTCTGTGCTGAGAGCATAGAGCCTGCTTAGGATTCTCTCTCTCCCTCTCTCTTTACCCCTCCCCTGCATGCGTGCACATGCACACATGCTCTTTCTCCCAAAAATAAATATTAAAACAAAAGCCAAAAAAATCACCAAAAATTAGAATTAACATATGCAAAGTTTGCTTTTCCCAAATACTGTCCTAATGCATACGACACAAAATAGGGTCAACAGGTGAATTACTGCCCACACCAAACCATTCAAGGTGACTTTGGATTCCACGCTTGCTTTTTTCTGTCAATTATTGTGATCCCTGAGAAATTTCTGTTCTCACCTGAGGTGAATTTTTTCTAATCCAGCATCTGCAAGGTCATCATTTGCCCTCTGGTGAATATCTCTTTGGGTTTCAATTTTGTGATCATCTGACAGACCGTCCACTTTATGAATGAACACCTCAAAGTTGATGTCAGTGTTCACTTTGTAGGCCCTTGTCACGGTGAGGTGGAGCCTCGCCAAGGCTTCCATGTAATCGTCCTGGGAACAGAGGCACATTCCTGTCACAGGAGGCCGAACCTTGCTCAGCTGCCTTCCAGACACTCTTTTTCTCCCCAGCTCTCCTGAAGTATGATTGACAAATAAACACTGCACCTACTTAAGGTGTATATGTGATGCTTTGATATATGTATACGTCATGAAATGATCCCCACAATCAAGTTAATTAATCTATCCATCGCCTTATCTCACAGTTATCTTTTTTTCTTTCATATACACTCCTAATCTGGAAATCATGTGCATACAACCCCCCAAAATATTCTGCAAAAACCCAAGTAAAAACTAGCTTCATGGAACTCAAGTCTGAAAACTTCAGTTCCATTAACAAAGAGATGAAACAGAAAGGCTGGAAAAACACCGCGATAAGCAGTTACGATTTAGCTTGGTAGCAGTCATTAAGATCAGAGCTGCTGTTTTCTGAATTCAAAATGACTCCATACTTCCTAGGACCTTCCCTGGGATACTATTCTTCCCCAATTTTTGCATCCCTTGATGAACTGTGATGAACAGTTTGAGGTGAAAACGTGATATGGGTCGCTGGGAAGATGTGGAAGGAGCCAGGAGGAAAGGTTTAGGAGCCACTAGTCTAGACCAGAGGTCAGCAAACTATGGGCCAAATTGGGCCCATGGCATGTTGTTTACAAGTCAAGTTTTGCTGCGACACAGCCACACTCATTTATATATAGGGTCTGTGGCTGCTTTCGTGTTGCAGTGGCACAGAGGAGTGGTTTTCCCCTATGGAAACTCCTTGGAAATAGTACAGCCTGCAAAGCCTGAAGTATTTACCATCTAGCCCCCTACAGAAACCATCTGCTGACCTCTGATCTAGAGTAACTACCTCAAATAACACAGTACTGTTTTTTTCTCCTTCCTACAAATGACACTTTTATGACAGTATGATGAACATCTATATATGCATCTCCCTTTTTAAGAAATCAAACAGTACAGGTGTCTGGCTGGCTCAGCTGGAGAAGCATGTGACTCTTTTTTTTTTTTTTTTTTTTTTAAGTAGGCTGTACACCCAACACAGGGCTGGAACTCTGAGGTCGAGTCACATGCTCTACCAAGTGAGTAAGCCAGGAATCCCAAGCTTGTGACTCTTGATCTCAAGGTCATGAGTTCAAAGCCCCACAATGGGTGTACAAATTAAATACATAAACTTAAAAAAAAGAAAGAAAAAAAAGAAATTTTACAGTAGAGAAAAAAAGAGAAAGTAATCACAGCTGACACTAAAGCCCCGTGTGTCTTTCTCCATCGGCCCAGCCCACCCCATCACTCTGCCTCCCACCCTCCAGAAGTAGCCACTAGTTGAACGAGTGTTTATTCTCAATCATCTCTTTATACATTACTACATACATATGTAACCCTAAACACCACCACAGAATTCATTTACATTGTCTTGAAATTTGGAGGGAGGCTATCTGAGAAAGGACACAAGCGAATCTTTTTGGGTGGTGGAAATATTCTATATCTTGACGGAGAAGTAAGTGGTTACAAGGTATATACATTCATCAAACTCACTGATTTATATGTACACTCATAATGAACACATTTTATTGAATGTAAATCATACCCCCAAAATTGTTATTGTTTATGTCTTTAACTGAAGAGGGGAGTCAAACAGTTAAGCGGACTTGTCTGTGAGCAAAACTAGCCAATGTCAAGAGAATATCACTATCTCAAAAGATTAGAAATTGCTACTGTAACTTGCCTGCCAGGCAATATAAAATGATCTGATTACCAACTAAGTGATGAAGTGGCACATACCTACAAGGACTAAAAATAACATCTGAAAGAAGAACATACTTGGTTTATTAGAACAGAAGGATTATGGATGATTTTTCCCACTGTGTCTGTTACTCTCTTCTACAACAAATAAAATTTCAGGAAAAATACACTGCCTTGTTTCTATTCCAAAATTAGATCCAGGAATTACAGGCAGGTCACAATCACCAAGGCAGATGAAGCCAACACTGCATGGTGGATCCCAAGGCACATGTGAACTGGCTTCGGGGCCAACGGGGGCCCTGTGATGGGGTACAGTTTGTGGGCTCCGCGTGGGGTCCGGCAGTGTCATGCATTTAGCTCACAGGAAATCACTCTTGATGTTTTCATTCTCGTTTTATTTTTTACCACGTTCTGTGAGGACGCATGTTCTCCTTGGTGATCTCTTTATCTGGCAATCCTGGCATTGTGAGGAATTCACAAGGAAAAATAAAAATATGAGCCGTCAGACCTAAAGAGCCCTGCTTAGAAATAAAGGCAGTGACTTCAAGTGCTGCCAAGACTCCTTGAAGTTTGCTTTTCTTTTCAATGCTTGTAACCACATCCTATAAATACTCCCCCAAACATGGCTTTTACAGTCTGCTTCCAATAGGAAAGTATATATTAGATAGACTCTGAAACAGCTTCTTTAGTTATTCCTCCTTTTTTAGTAAATGACAGCTGTCAACAACATTTTTCCTATGTTTTAAAAAGTGGAACGTAAGGGGCACCTGGGTGGCTCAGCCAGTTGAGCGTCTGACCGGCTCAGGTCATGATCTCCCAGTTGACGAGTTCGAGTCCCACCTCGGGCTCTGTGCTGACAGCTCCAAGCACGGAGCCTGTTTCAGATTCTGTGTCTCCCTCTCTCTCTGCCCCTCCCCTGCTCATGCTCTGTCTCAAAAATAAACATTAAAAAAAAAAGTTTTTAAAAAAAGTGGAACTTAAAAGGACCAATTTCTCAAACATTCTTATACCTTTCTCTGCCCTATAGCTAGGAAAGAGAAAAAAAGGGAAAAAAGGAAGAAAACAAAACAAATTTACCAACGCAAAGCGAAGTTCCACTTTTCAAGTTCAGGTAAAAAATAAAAGCAAATTACAGCTGCAATTTAAAAACAGGCAAGTGAGGGGCGCCTGGGTGGCTCAGTTGGTTAAGCGTCCAACTTCGGCTCAGGTCATGATATCACGGTTCGTGAGTTTGAGCCCCGCGTCGGGCTCTGTGCTGACAGCCAGCTCAGAGCCTGGATCCTGTTTCAGATTCTGTGTCTCCCTCTCTCTGACCCTTCCCTGATCACACTGTCTCTCTCTCTCTCAGAAATAAATAAAACATAAAAAAATTTAAAAAAAAAAAATAAATAAATAAAAACAAGCAAGTGAACCTATTTTAGCTACATTATAGCCATATCACAAGCACCTAGGATAGAGTTGCATTGGACATTTGAATTCTATAAATGCAAATTGCTACATAAGCACAACATGGTATTGAAGTGAGTACTTACTAAGCTACTGTCTTGAAAAGATGAGTCATCTGACTGGAATCTACCTCCCCCAGGGTAGGGCTACTACTGCTGCTACCTAGTTCGCCACCTCCACAGAAACAGCAGTGGAGTGACTTAGGAAAAACCTGGAGCTTCGAAGAGACAGATGAGTGGGACACATCCACGCACTCGCCCACCATGCAGCAGCGTGAAACACAACCCAGCTGCTCTTCTAAGCTCAAGCTCCCTAATTTATGGTGCTGGCAGTACTGCCAAGGCCACAGATGGGCCAGAAAACGGGTCAGTACAAGTGGGACAGCAGGGAAAGCAGCGACTGACAGCAGGCCCTGGACCTGCTGCAGGTGTCTACAGCACGCATTTCTGGACGGGCCCAGGGGAGGAGAGGCGCTGTTGTTCACAGATCAGGCACTGGAACGCAGAATGGCTCCCCTGCACACTCCCACCAGAACAGAAAGAAAGCCCCTTCTACCATATGGCCACACTCCTACAGCTACACTGGAAGTACATAGTGCAATCACTTGGAACTAAAAGGCTTAGTTAAAAATTTCATTATTGTATCAAACAGGCTCCTAGTTCCCTGAATGAATTTATGATGCTCTCAGGCATGAGCAGTCTTCTCAGAGAATGGTTTTCCAAGTGTGGGCTCAGAACCATCGTTATTAACAGTTTCCATATCCCTTCCTCCCTAATACCATCAGCATTCCCGGAAGGGGCAGGTGTGCTGAGTTCACCGGCCTGATTGTAGGTCCAGTTTCTGGGAAATATCATGTCCAGAATGTAGAGGTGGTTTAGTACATTCCTGAAGGACTTTTATCCCTCCGCAGGTACCAAAGAGAGCCCTTGGGGGGGTGGGGGGGGAGATACCTGGGTGGCTCAGTTGGTTAAACATCCGAATTCAGCTCAGGTCAGGATCTCGTGGTTCATGAGTTTGAGCCCCGCATCGGGCTCTGTGCTGACAGCTCAGAGCCTGGAGCCTGTTTCTGACCCTGGGTCTCCCTGTCTTTCTGTCCCCCCCGCCCCCCATGCACGCATGCCTCTCTCTCTCTCTCTCTCTTTCTCAAAAATAAACATTAAAACCAAACAAATAGGGGCGCCAGGGTAGCTCAGTCAGTTAAGCGTCCAACTTCAGCTCAGGTCACGATCTAACAGTTTGTGAGTTTGAGCCCTGCGTTGGACTCTGTGCTGACAGCTCAGAGCCTGGAGCCTGCTTCAGATTCTGCGTCTCCCCCTCTCTCTGCCCCTCCCCTGCTCATGCTCTGTCTCTCTCTGTTTCTCAATAAGAAATAAACATTAAAAATTTAAAACAAACAAACAAACAAACAAAACAAAAACAAAAGAGAGCCTTTGGGAGAAACTTGAGGCTAACCTATGCTTCCAAGACACTTTCTAAGAGTGCATGGACATGGAGAGTTTGAAGAGCATCATTGTCCCAATTCTGTTGCCTGTACTCTTTCCTAACACTGGCATGCCTGAGATGCACCTGTGGCTTTGCTGCTTCCCTTTCCCTCCTCCCCTTTAACTGCTGGCCTCCCACTTCACGAGAGAAAGGCAAAGAGTACCAAAGAGACAACTCAGAAGACTTTTTTGAATGCTGATAAAGTGAATAACTATTATCTGGGTAATAAGCCTCTTCATCAGTCAAGGGGTCCCCATGCCTTTACTTTCAGCAAAGTTAAAGGAAAGCCCAATCAGGATGTCTCTTGGTCAACTAAAAACAATCCTTCGTGACAGAAAACTGGGCTATATTTAGAGGATATCATCTGAGTTTAAATAATTGAACAAACGCCGTAACTCACCCCAAATCCATTTACTCATTTATGTGAACGTTTTCTCAGCGCTTATATCCACACAAACAAAAATAGAATTGATACTAAATTCTGTCTTATTCAAGCACGGATACATGAATTAAGTGGAAAAATATCCATTTTAAGAGATATACTTATCAAAATTTTACTTTTTATATTTAATAGTTACCTATAAAATACATAATATTACATTGTCAATCGTGTGCTAGTAATAATTACAATAATTTAATTCAGAAGCAAAACTTCACACTTAGAACTCTATCTTCCTAGGAAAGAGTAAACATTTCAAATGTAGACTTATATACATATTTTTGTTGCCCAGAACCTGAGCTGTTTGGTGGATATCTGTCAAGAGTATCACCATGGACACGTATTTGCTGTCCTTGGCCCATACGGTGGTCCCCTCCATCTGTGAGGTTTCTGTGATTCGCTGAGACATACTCAACTCAGTAACACTGCTCACTGCTCACTAGTTAGGGATGCAGGCAGGGAGCCCCTTCCCCTTTGCAAACTCCCCCCATCCCCACCAAGAGCCCCAACTCAGGCGCTAGAAAGGCCACACCAAAACCATCACAAAGGAACTGGTTTGAACGTGGGGGCGGGGGGCTGCCTCTGGGGGGAAGGGGCTGCAGTTCCATGTACCTGAGACTGAGCTTTACCTGGGAGTCTATGACAAATATCAGCGCTCCTGTTCCTCGGAAGATCATCTCATAGTCAAATGTAGGGTCAAAAAAGTCAATCTGTCCTGGGAAGTCCCAAATCTGAAAATTAACAAAGGAGCTATTGGAAACATCTTCCCGGCAGATCTTGTTTGTGCTCTCCAAGAACAGAGTTTCGTTGGGAGACATTTTGTGAAAGACAACTTTCTGAATAGATGACTTGCCGCTTCTCCTCAGGCCCATGAGCAGGATCCTCGGCTTCACCTCAGTGCTGAAGGGATCGCTGAAGTCCAGAACTGGAGAAACCACAAAACAAGAAATGAGGGTGAGTCGCTTTCACGGTGGTTAATTAGAGGAGTTTCACTTCCACCTCTGATGTGATTCATGATTTACTGACAGTGCTACTCTTCCAAATACCGAGGGTGCTAACTACCTCACTCCACTCATTGAGGGGCCCTTCAGTAAGTGCAGAACACTGAAGAATGCTGCATCACCACATGTCACACCGTCCCAAAGGGCCAGAAAACCTGTACAATTCCACATCGCAATCAGCAAATCTGTAGTGTGAGGAGTAGAGATTTCCTGGAGCAAACTGTGAAAGGAGAAAATCCAGTCTTAGCATTCCATAGACTATCTTCTTTGCCTAGATCATCAGAGTCTCTATGCCGTAAAGGAATGCTTAGGCATTTGAATTATGCCTCAAATTGAGAATTTTGGACTTCATCAAAATTTAAAATGTGGATGTTTCAAAGAACACTACCAAGAAAGTGAAGACAACCCACAGAATAGGAAAAAACATGTTCAAACCATGTATGTGATTAGGGCCTAGTATCCAGGATATATAAAGAACTCTTACAATTCAACAATAAAGACAACGTAATTTTTAAAAAAAGATGGACAAAGGATCTAAATGGACATTTCTCCAAAGATACAAAAATGGCCAATAAGCACATGAAATGATGCCCCACATCATTAGCCATCTGAGAAATACTACTCAAAACCACAGTAGGATGACACTTCACACCCACTAGGATGGTTATAATCAAAAAGATAAACAGTAACAAGTGTTGAGGAGGCTATGGACTAATCGGAACTCTCATACAATACTGGTGTGTATGTAAAATGATGTGTTTTGAACAGTTTGGCAGTTTCTCAGAAGGTTCAACATTGAGGCACCCCGTGACCTAGCAATTCCACTCACAGGAATATGTTCAAAGAAATGAAAACATGTGTCCAATATACATGAATTTCCTTTTCGTTTCCTTCTGACAACACCTCTTATGTCTTTCTCAGTCCCTGGTCGCAGTCTAATTCAATAGTGACTGGAAAGTAGTTCTTTTTTGCCCTTATTGTAACTAACAATAAGCACATGAAATGATAACTCTACAACTATCTAAAACATATATTAATACTTGATAATATCTTAGTGAATTTCATTTACTATATATAATATTTTGATATTTGAATTTGCAATAAGTTTAGGTAAACACACAAGTTTCAGGTAAAACAAGAACTGAATAAAGAAAAAGTAAGTAGGAAGTAGGTACAGATGTGCACAGCCACTATTCCACTCTAAGCAACACTTTACCCCACCCTACCCACACATTCTTTTCCAGTCCAACTCAACCCAATTCAACAATCTGCTGACAATATACTATAGAAGCAGTAATGAAGAAGTAAAACACCCAAAAAGTCACCAGCTTTCTTCTTTATCAGTCATTATATGCTACTCACTCACAGTACTATCATTACACATAAGTCTTAGAAAAAGCAGGGCATAAATTAAAAGAGAAAACAGGGCTTCCTGTTTTAAAATTTTCAGACTGATAACATGTCATGGTCTTCCCCTCCCACAGTGAATCCCTAAAAATTACAGAAAAGGTATAAACCATAAATAAATGGATGAACAAATAAGTAGATATCTGAGCTTGAAACAAACAAACAAACAAACAAACAAACACCCTCAAAGTTGAGATTACAGAGAAATCCCTAAGATACAACAGGCCAGATTGAAGAGGGAATCTGTAGCCCTTGACCAGGACTGGTAAGACTCTGCTGCAGAAGGCAGAACTGGTAGAAGCCCAAAGTGGAAAGGACACAAAGACAACAAACAGAGTTATTATTTGGAAAATCACATTGAGAAGAGCCAGCAGGTGAACTCTGGGCACTACTCCTACTACCACCTAGTACATACTTCCAGGTGGGAGCAAACTATAGGAGCTCGGGTAGGAGAGGAGAGGAGGTGCTCTAGGAATTCAGGATGCCCAGAAGGAGCAGGGGGAACCACACTTCCACCCTCCAAGTACTCTGACCTTCCCTAACTATCACTAGTATGTGGATTCAACAGGTGGAAGCAGTACTATCTTCCCTCCAGACATTTCCTCAAATGTCTAACATACCTATACTTGAACATACATCTGAAGTAGGAGAGTTGAAAAAGGAGCCAGAGTAAACTTTCAACTATAATAAAAATCTTCAGAGAAAAGGTGGTATCTATGAAACAAAAACAGACAATTTCAGAACAAGAGCAACCATGAAAAAAAATGGTCTTAGAGACCTTAGAAATAAAAATATAGGGGCGCCTGGGTATGTCAGTCTGTTAAGCATCCAACTTCGGCTCACGTCATGATCTCACGGTTCTTGAGTTTGAGCCCCATGTCAGGCTCTATGCTAACAGCTCAGAGCCTGGAACCTCCTTCATATTCTCTGTCTACCCCTCCCCTACTTGTGCTCTGTCTCTCTGTCTCTCTCAAAAATAAACATTAAAATTTTTTTAAAAGAGAGGTAAAAATATAATTATGGGGGAGGTTAGATATATGGGTTGAAAATCAGAATAAGAACAGATTAAGAGGGCAGTAATGAACTAGAACGTCAATTCCTCTCAGAACGTAGTACAAAGAGATAGAGTGCTGGGAAGTATAAAGTAAAGGTTAAAATGACATCAGAACTAATCATCTCAAACCTGTAGGAAATATAAATACTTGTGAAAATGCATTAGAAAAGGATCCAAAAGGATGTGCAGCAAACAAAGAGCGCATGGGTAAAAGATTGGAGGGGGGTTGTCATTAAAGGGATTTGGCTTTGATTTAATTTAAAAATTTTAAGACTTATTTATTTATTTATTTTAATAATCTCTATACCAAATGTAGGGCTTGAACAGATGACACTGAGATCAAGTCACATGCTGTTTCAACTGGGCCAGGCAGGCACCCTCTGGCTTTAATTTTAAAAAGGAAACACATTTACATACATATGTCATTAAAGTGAGTTTAAAAAAATAAAATAAAATAAAGTGAGTTTTGAAAAAAATGTTTAATGTATAGGAGTCATGGAGGACACAAAAGTATTTCAAAATATTAAATATTCTTTAAATTGTGATTTCAACTTCACATTTTCTTAGGTGGTTATCATAAAGTTTATGTCTTTTCATTATTTTTTTAATGTTTATTTAGTTTTGAGAGATAAAGACAGAGCGCAAGTAGAAGAGGGGCAGAGAGAGAGAGGAGGCACAGAATCTGAAACAGGCTCCAGGCTCTGAGCTGTCAGCACAGACAGCTCGAACCCACAAACCATGAGATCATGACCTAGGCTGAAGTTGGATGCTTAACTGACTGAGCCACCCAGGAGCCCCTACTTTTTGCTTTTAATACAATAAACACTAAGGTCACGATCTCTAAGCTCATGAGTTCAAGCACCACATCAAGCTCTGTGCTGACAGCTCGGAGTCTGGAGCCTGCTTCCTGCTACAGATTCTGTGTCTCCCTCTCTCTCCGCCCCTTGCCCACTCCTACTCTGTCTCTCTCAAAAAATAAACATTTTTTAAAAATACAACAAATATACAGTTAATGTGCTAAAGGTGATTGGTAAAGGTTGGTTGGACCAAAAAATACATAAAACATGGTTCCTATCTTGGAGAAACTTAAAGTCTAGTCTAGACAATGTAGTATGGGCACAAAGACAAATAGATCCTTGGAACAGTATAAGGAGTTCAGGAATAAACCCACATATACAAGGACAAACTGATTTTTGACAAAGATGGAAAGTCAACTCTATGGAGCAAGGATAGTCATTTTCACCAAATGGTGCTAAAACGACTAGATGTCCATATGCTAAAAAAAGAAAACATTTCAATACACATCTCACACCATCCACCAAACTTAACTCAAAATAGACAATAGGTCTAATTTTAAGTCTAAAACTATGTAACTTCTAGGAGAAAATATTTATGACCTTGGGTTAAGTGAAGATTTCTTTTTTTTTTTATGTTTTTATTTGTTTTTGAGAGAGAGAGTGAGAGAGAGAGACAGTTGAGCAGGGGAGGGACAGAGAGGGAGACACAGAATCTGAAGACAGGCTCCAGGCTCTGAGCTAGCTGTCAGCACAGTGCCCGACACAGGGCTTGAACCCACAAATTGTGAGGTCATGACCTGAGCTGAAGTCGGACATTTAACCAACTGAGCCACTCAGGCGCCCTGGTGAAGATTTCTTAAGATACAACATCCTCCCTCAAAACTGATAAATTGGACTTTATTAAAATAAAAACTTCTGCTCTTCAAAATGACACCATTAAAATAATGAAAAAGGCAAGCCACAGATTAAAAGGAAATATCTGCAAATCCTATATCTGATAAAGGATTTGTATCTGGAATATATAAAGAACTCTAAAAACTCATAAATAAGGAAACAAAACTCAATTTTTGAAAAGGTAGGGGGAGCAAAAGATTAGAACATCAGTTTACCAAAGACTTACTGAAGGTAAATAAGCAAATGAAAAGATGCTCAGCACGTCATCAGTCATCAGGGAAATGTAAATCAAAACCACAGTAAGATACTATTGCACAGCCACAAAGATGGATTAAGAACACAGGTAGTAAGAAGCGCTGATTAGGATGTAGAGCTGCTGGAACTCTCATATGCTGCGAGTGGAAATGTAAAATGGTACAACCATTTTGGAAAACAGTTTGGTGGTTTCTTAAGCAGTTAAACACGTAGTGGGCGCCTGGATGGCTCAGTCGGTTGAGCGGCTGACTTTGGCTCAGGTCATGATCTCACGGTTCGTGGGTTCGAGCCCCGCGTCGGGCTCTGTGCTGACAGCTTGGAGCCTGGAGCCTGCTTCAGATTCTGTGTCTCCCTCTCTCTCTGACCCTCCCCTGCTCGCTCTGTCTCTCAAAAATAAATAAAAATTAAAAAAAAAAGAAGTTAAACATGTATTACATTATCCCAACCATTCCACTGCTATATATTTACCGCCCCAGAATGAAAGCTTGTACACAAAGGCTCAGAGCAATTTTATTTG